TTCGGACAGAGGAATGATATCTTACGACCCTCTTCGCAGATGTGAAAGACCTAGACAGCAAGGTGATTACATTAGTGTCATCCAACAATTCTAAAAAGTGTGCACACTTACCTGACAATCGGTTTCCATGTCGGCAAAGTAACCATTGCCAAAGGAGCGGCAACTGAATGTGGTTTTCGGTATGCGTGGATAGATGGGAAAATCGATGCCCGGTCTACCGACCACACCCTGATACACCTCATAGTCGACATCCTCGTCCGAAGAGCGCTTCTTTAGATGATGCTTGTGTTCGCTACAATCTGTGTGCGCGTCATAGGGTTCCACTTCAAATTGCGCGGCACCGGTTTGTTTCGCTAAAATACGTGCTGGCGTGCTGTCGCTCTGCAAGTAAAAAACAAATAAAGAGCGCGTGTAAGAGCAAATGTTTGTTGGAGTTGAAGAGAAATTAAGGTGAAGCAAAGAGTTTATTGGTGTGTGATACAATGAATCAACTACATTTACTGCGACTTACTTCTGTTTCGGCGCTGCTGATGCTGAGAAATGTGGCGAGCAGTAGAGCTGTAAATATAACGTAAAGTTTTAATTAGCTTTCAGATAGTAACAAGAGCGTAAATAGTATGTATTTAAATACAGTTGATGATTATTTTCATAATGAAGTAAGAGATGGCTGATTGGTTTTCTTTACACCGCTTTCACAGCTAAACTGTACATCTAAGGTATGAAGAATTATTTACCATTAGAAAGATATTTTTAAGGCTTAAGTGCAGAAAACTATTGAAATTTCAAATTAGTTTAAAACAAAGCGAAAAAATCGATTCAAAGCTGGCACTAACACAAATGCCGTACATGTAGATGATTGCGGTGGAAATGCCTCCCAAATGTATGCTTTGAAATTGAAACTGCATTAAATAAGCGAGCCAAGAAGCAGTTTAGGAATAAGATTTATATAGATTTAGATTCTTACAAAGAAGGATGTAAAGTTAAATATGAAGTCGAAGAAGGGGATAAAGGCATGGGCGTAGCCAGGTGGGTGCAGGAGGGGTAAGAAAGGGCTCGACCCTCCCTCCTAACTTACAACTTTTACCTATATATAAAAAATAGTTCCCTGAAATGCTAGCTTAATAGTTTCGAGACCCCCCAAGGCATTTATGGCTCTAGACTGAAGTTTTCAGTGCCCTTGTGAACCTTCCCAAGCATCTTCCAAAGCGGAAGTTGTACGCTATTAGTCTGCGTGCAGAGATTAACTTTTGTAGGAATCAAATATCGAAGTTAGAAAAACTTTATATTAAGTATTAGGCAGGCGGAACTTATCATCCTTCAAGGTTAAATCTTCATGAGTCCTGTAGTGTAAAGAAAAGCTTAATGCCTTGGTTGAGAACAATGCGAATAGCTTTGGATACACATGGGAGTCGAAGGAAATGAGGAAGCCGATCAGTAAGCCAGAATGGCTGCTGCCTTGATGCCGTTAGGATCTGAGCCCTTCTTTGCGGTAGATCTTAACATGTTAAAGGAAACGCTGAGAAAGGAAAATACAAAACTGAGGGATCTGCATTGGCGAAGAAACACCACGAGTCTTCGTCAAAGCTAAGAGCCTTCTAAGGAGGGAACAATCTTAAGAGATACATGCTACTCATAAATCTCCCCAATGAGAGAGATTACAGGTATTTTGTAGGGCACTTATATCAGCTAGGGGTCTGATCAACCGATCTATGTCATTTTTGTAACTTCGCCAAAGTGAGAAGAAAGAGGTGCATAGAACATCTATGACCATTAGAAGAGCACATACACTCCCTACCTTTGGTAGCTATTCTGAAATTTATAGTCTTTAGGGCTAGATGCAGTGTTGTTATAAGCTGCAGAGAAGTTCTTGTTACTGGGAAAAATGAATGCCTGAGTTATGAATATTAAAATCTTGTGACCTGAAGAGGATGGTACTAAGTTAGAAGATCAGTCTCTTTAGAGGGAAAATTTCAATGGTCATTGCCCTACACCCGTGGCATGTCAAGATAGGCTGAAATGCAGAACATCCCGAGATATCCACAATGACTACTGCAGCAGATGCCTACGTTGAACAAAGGCTTGAAATGATCAGGCATTTACTCTGTGAAAGCTCTACACCCCTCATAAAAAATAAAAATTTCTAGGGTACATGATTTTTAAGTAATTTAGGGGCAGCTGCAGACTTTAAGATACCGCAGTTGTTAAGGTTGGTAGAGTCTATGAACTGGTTTGATTTAAAAAGAAGTAGATATTCAGCGCCCATGTGGTATCGTAATGGGTATTTATCGTTCCCATCTGTGCCGGATTTTAAGACAAAGCATCTACAACAATCTAACTTAGTGGATCAGAATACTTGTCGTCCAGACTAAATCTTTGGTAGAGTCAAGGCAAGCCTCAAAATGTTGGAAGA